AAATCACTTTATACTTGATCAAAGAGGCCAGATGTAGAGTAGATATTTAGAGTATGTAGAGTATATATATCACTTTTAGGGATTTTGACGACGAGTTTTCATGACTCGTTAGCTTGAATTTTGTTGTGACGTGGATCATCAGAGCAAGGTATTATCGTCACAACAAAATTCGAGCTAACGAGTCAAGAAAACTCAACGCCAAAATCCCTAAAAAGTGGTATATATACTCTACATCTGGCCTCTGATGAAGCATAAAGTGATTTGGTTAGTTAAGGTCATATGTTATTTCGAGAACGATATATATTTTATCCATAATTATGAACATATTTCCATAGCCATCACTCATCGTCATCTCTCCCTCATTATTTTTCACTTTTAGCTTTTTAATTATATGTCCTCTATTCTCACTTTTTTCACTTTTCCTTTTTTTCTGCTTCAGTTTTGGGAGGAAGCAGTCAAGTTTCCGAAAACTCCTTGACCACGGGTCTGTCTCCCTCCTACCCAAAGATTTCTTTGCGTGCACCTTCGACTATTAAATCCATGCCGATTTCAACCACGATAACGACAGCCAGCAACAGTCTAGAACTCAATTCCCGATGTATCATCGGAGCCTCTAATGCATCTCGCCATTCCTCAGACTCCGTTCTAGACAGCCCTTCCCGGCGGCGTCACCCCACTGCAGACATTGCTGCTGGATCCGTCTATATGGCACCCACTACCGTCAACGCATCGACGGCAGCCTGCCTTGGTGGTGGAAGTCGACTATCGTTGGCCAGCGGTCGACAATCACTAGCCTCAAGTGCTGGCGCAGAATCGTACAATTCATACCGCCTTCTCACTCGGCAGACGGGTGCTGGCTGGCGCGAGTTGTGGCGCACTCGACTTCTTCTCCGCGACGTATTGCACTGGGCTCTTGCTCAGCCACGAAGCTCCGGCCCACTATCCACCGCCGCTCCAGGCTCTGGTCTCCAAGTTGAAAGTGGCCACATGACGGCCTCCCAACCTGTTTCCTTGACCTCTGATACTTCGTCACTAGGGCCAATTAAAGCTGCTGATCGGGAGGCGGCGACTGGCTTTTCCGAGCC